TCAGAACTTTCATTTCCACTACTAACATCTGCTTCACTTTTTTCAAAAAATGCAGTTATTAATTGACCATTTTTTTCGGCATTTTTCTTAGCCTCACTTTGTTTCTGGCAATAAGTTCTGGAAGAATTACCTATATAATGCAAAGATCTTGATGATGAAGTGTAATTTTTCATGGATTCATTAAGGATATCAATATATTTTACAGAATTTTCGTCTAATTCTCTATCTATTCCTCCTTCAAACCAACTTTCTTCAGTAGGGATGGGGCGGTTCCATTAAGGAGCCGCTCCTGAGCCGCTCTGTTGACCGATCTTCCCTTTTAAGGAAAGATCATCGAATATATCACATGAAATTTTTCTTGACAATTTTTTATTAAACAAATATAATTAATAAAACAATAAACAAACGAATAAACAAATGAATAGACAAATGAATAAATAAAAGAAACTAAAATATAAAGCATTAAAGAAGAGAAAAATAACGATAAGTATATCTTTAATATATATATATACAAAAAAAAGAAAAAATTTTATGCATTCTATTCTCCTATTTTATTTACTATCCAGCTTTTCATACACAAACAGGCTCTTGCAGTTTCTGGCAACAAGCGATTCCGTGTTCTGCTAATTGTGTTTCCAGCAACAGAGAAAGCCTGCTCTGATGGAACACTTGTTGCTTGAATGGCAAGATAATCTCTCGCCATATTACTTACATTTGGGTACTCTTTGGCATGTGCCTGCCACCATAAGAGAGGATCTGTATCTTCATCTCTCTGCAATCCAAGATAACGATCTAACTCTGATACTGAAGATGTTGAGGGAGTTACAGATGAAGTTTGTGGAGTGCCGGTGCCTTGACAAAGTTGTATGAAATATTGGCGACTTGTATTCATAGATGTTGATGTTCTTCTCATAGGAGATGATATATTAGAAAAATTCTCCTGGTAAGTTTCAAAAATTGTTTTAATATGTGCACGAGCATTTTGACTTGCATCTACTGAAAAGGCAGAAAGCTTAGTTCGGGGGTCTAAGATTGCTGAGGCAATTGAAGAGTGATCCATAATTTCCCAATTTTCTCCAATTTTCTGGGATATTGAGGCTGCCATTTCGGATTGCGTGAACCCATCTTCTCCAATTTTTTCTTCTAGATACTTTTGGATGTATTTAAAAACAAATCGAGTATCACCCATGGTTGGATAAGATGATGCCGAAAGATGTTTTGTGGCTTTTTCTAGAGGTTCAAGAAGCAGGAGAGTATCCTATAGAACATGATAAATTATTAATTATTAATTATTAATTTGTCAATTATAAATTATTAATTATTGATTATGAAGCATTTTTTTTTTAGTAAAGATTATCTACCTTAATTGCAATTAAATCATTATCATTAGTGTTAAGAACACTGACATCTTCATTATCAGCAGCAAGTAAGGTCAGTGCTGGTTGAAGTTCTTCCCAACATTGTAACATGTAATATGTTGAGTTCCAGCGGGTTTCTACATCCAAAATGGGTTTATGATAGGTTATCCCCTTTATATTGCAGAAAGTGCGAAGTTCATCACAAAGTAAAGTTGAATTTTTAATTTTGATCATTAATTCACGTATTTTATAAACTGAGTTACTAACTAATTGTAACCCTTGTTTCACACCTAAGTTCAACACATGTGCTGCACAATGATAATGTGAAAAATTCATTAATGAGAGTTCAGTGTTAAGGGCATTTGCAATTTCTCTTCCACATACAACCATTGAAGATCCATTGTCAGTAGTTAATGCAATTATTTTATTAGAGATGTTGAATTCATCTAAAACGTGTACAATTTCTTGTGCAATGTTTTTTCCGGTATGTCTATTAGTAAAAGGAATGATGTCAAGGAGAAAGCTACAGAGATGCCAGTTT